CACATAGGGGGTCGCACTTTTCCGTGGAGAGTTGGGTCGTATTTGGTCGTTGAGGGAAACTTGATTGGTTTTCCGGATGTTGACTTTTCCGTGATTTTTCCTGTTTTTTCCTGTTTCACTGTTTTATGTGCACTATATACCCCCCCGCTCGACGGAAAATTTTTGGGTGAAAAAACTGGAAAATGGGGGAAATTTGTAGGTAGGTGTTGGGGAGGGGGGGGTCGTACCGAGACCCTCATTTAGGTTTGGGAGGTCGTACCTACACCACCACCTCACCCATCACGATGCTGTACCCTGGTTGGAGAAGGAGCAGGATACACCTTCACTAAGCATTCATTACGGCATAATCTTTTTATCTTCATCCAGCACCGCCTTACTACTACCTATCAGTTTTCTCCTGCTCACTACCAATACCTAGTGAGCAGCTATTCGGTATTGTGCGCTCTAGAATGCCCTAAACTCTTAAAAGAGACCAAACAAAGAAAAGGAAAACAATGGAAGCATCTGTTATCTTTTCGTGCTTGGATTCAGGTCTTTCATAGTGTTGAATCACTCGAAGATCGGTCGATGTGCTTTTCAGGGTACGCATAGAGTTCACCTGTCAGTATCAGCTTCGAACGGCGACGTCATAGGCATAGGAAGTCAGAGCTTCGAGGTGCGCTCGTTGTGGTTGGCTGTCATCGGGGATTCATTTGCATCCGGTGAAGGGAATCCGGATATTTACCAACACGACGGCACAAGCGCTCGATGGCTTGACGGTGAGGAAAATCTCATGGAACTATTAAATTCAAATGGCCAGATTCAAAAGTTCCTCCGGGTTTATACAGAATACCGGCTCTTGACAAATTAACCATGTCGATTAAAACTGCTGAAGCAAGTAATAGCGATCAATCATTTTGGAATACGCCACGCAGTCGGCTATTTAGAAGTATTGGAAACATCTGGAAACGCATCTATTCCGTCTGCCAACAAACAATGAACTGTGGGAATCAACGGGCATTCAGCTCTCACTTCTGCTCCCCAAGCGCCACGAAAAACCCCTTGAGTGAACTTAGTCGAATTCAGTGCAGTAAAGGAAACGCGCCAGTGACCGTTACTCTTGTCAAATTATCGTCCATATCGGAGGGCAAGAAGAGGCGTTGCGGCGGCGGCTACATGTTCTCGTGTCAACTCTCCTATACATACGTCTTTGCCTTTCTTTTGTCTAGCCCTTTTTACAGTCACTGCCACCCCTCGTGTTCCCCTTAGGTATGGACTGCATCAGTAAACTATATGAACTACATTTGACTCCAGAGTCCAAGGAAAAGCGCATGGTACTCTTGAAGTTTTATCTACTTCAAAGAAGCTTCCGAAGCCCTCAGATGTGCTCCCCTTTTCGAAAATAGAATCAAATGAAGAGAAATCGCTAGTAGAGGTGCATGATTTACCTACTATACCTAGGCTGTTCAAAATCTTTTTGCAGTTTGTTGTTTTGAGATCTAGGAATTAATTTACATTAAGGGACAACTTTGTATCACAAATGGTCCCATTCTCATCTACACTTGGATAGGAGATTCGGTTAAGGGTTTTTTTAGGATTGGTCCGACAAGAGATCAAGTAGAGGCCAGCCCCATAACATCAACGAGACCGCAGAAACTTATTGGACAACTTGCTAAGTGGAAATTCTTATGATTTCGAGGGGCAAATGAAAAGCGACCTCTTGCCCTCTTTCTAGTGCCTGTTTTTCCTCAGTCGGTATTATTTTTCTAGCGGCTGGAAAGCATTCCTGGCTCACGTTTTTCCAACACCATTCATGTCCACAAACAAGTGATCAATCAAACTTGCCCGGCATGAAGTCTCGTCACCCGGCCACCGTAATCCTCCCGCCACCTGGCGGCTCCTTTGATCTGACGCAGTTATGGCAATTAGGCTTTCCTTTCATCTTGCCGCTCGCCGTCTCCTCAGGGCACATTTAAGTGCTAGTGAAATCGAAACGCATTGAGGCTAAAAGAATTCCATGGCATAGATTTCACGCATTGAGTCATATGTGAATGATCTTGAATTCAGAGCAATGCCATCGGTCATCAAAATCGTTCGCCGCACAGGTGTTCGAACAGATCGCCGCTGTACGGCCACAGACGTATCTTACATTTTTGGCTTGTGCTGGAGCGACCGTTGAAAATGGGATCTTGAAGTCGGAAAGTGGAGCAGACAGCCAGCTGGCAACGTTGGAAAGTATCGCCACACTGAGGTGAGATTCTCTGCTCTCAGAAACCCTCACAAAGAACCAGTGGGAATGATCTCTTGGATTCTTGTACCTTTGATACGTCTTGATACCTTGCTCGCCTTACAGTGACCGATAGCAATCACTGGCCACGCTTCTGAAGGTACAGAACTCAAGGTATCACTAATATTTTATTATGGACCACAAAAATGATTAGGCAAGGTTCTGAAATCTTGCGGCTCCAACCGAACTCGACCCTGCTCATCCAATCCTCTTTTTATTTTTTCCCAGGCACTATTTACCCTTCACTGCCCCAATCCATTCCCGATTTTGAGCACGGTTAATCGACCGACTTTTTCTCCGTGGACAGATTTGGCTCAAATGTTGTCTCCTAGGGTATTTTGACCTCCTGAATACGAATATGACATTCACATAGCCCGAAACCTCCTGGCGCCTGCGCCACAGGCGCCGGTGACCTGAGGTATTTTCGGCGCCAGCACCGTAGCGCGGGCGGGAGGAGGTTTGCGCGAGCGGGTGTGATATTTCGTACAGGGGTCAAACACCCTTGTGTCAGCAGGCTCTCAAGTTTTCAGCGGATTTGGCGATCTCAACTATTTTGGCGCCGGCGCCCGTGGCGCGGGCGCCAGGAGGTTTTGGGTTAAGCGGATGCCATTCGTATTCGTGTTCAGCGGGTCGTACTACCCCTGCAGCCTAGTTTTCAGCAAATCCTGCTCACGGAGAAAAAAGTCGGTTAGGAACTGGACTGATTCGGAATGGACTGGCGGCAGTAAAAGGTAAAATAGCTGCCCTTTTCTTATTTTTATTTTATTATGCACGCCAGCCTGTTGCTGCCGCTTCCACAGAACTCAGACTTATACTAATGACAATCTACGATCTTACCTAAACTGAAAAAAAAGACATAAATCAGAATTGGGTAAAGTTCTCCAGTCAGAAATTTGCTGGAAGAATAACAAAAGATTGACGAATGAGTCAGCTCTGCCACCTGTAGGGATCATCTGCCTTGGAGTAAATAACATTAGCTCAAGAAAATTAACTCCGTGACGGATGACCACTTATACGGAATTTTATGATGAAGAATGTAAGCATAATCTAAAGAGAAAGATTATTCTGAAGCGTTATAATGCAGCATTGCTCACTGATCCGCCAAAAGATAAGAGGCTGAGAACTTGAGCGGCGGATGACTAATCGCTACAGTAACTGAGAGAAAAAGCTTCTAACCGTATGTTAAGTTGCGCTTAGCGACAAATGGACACACTATGAAGTAGAGCTGTTTTTGGCATTCAGAAAGCTTCTGTTATAGGACTCGTAGAGGAATAAATTGGACTAGATAGAAATAAGCGTGTAGCCTTCTCTCGTCGGTAGTTGCGATCTTGTTCTAACCTCTTATCTCCTCACTTCTTATTACCCTCTATCACCTATTAAGGATTTCCGACAACTCCTAGATCATCAGCCTCGTCATCTGTCGATGAAACCTTCATACATACGGACGAATAAATAAAGAGCTTCTTCAGAAAATAGAGTAAAGTGACTGGGTACCCTTATGATTTTTTTTGCCTTCTGGTCAGCGCTCGTTCACGGCAAACTGTACACTCATCTGCGTGATCCTGGTCGTCGCCATTTGTGGGGTGAATGGATCCGCAGCTGCAGCAGCGCGTCACTTTCTGCGCTCAAAAATGCACGGGAACAAGGCTGTAGGATGGCGGCATCCGAGTATCGTCTCCATACTCTGCGCAGTTAGCCACACGCCTAAACGTAGCCAAACGCGCTAAGTGTCTGCGCCGTTGTGAATGTTCAGCAGAAAAAGTGGCGGGCCAGTGCCGATGCGGGCCCTTCGCCTCGACATAGAATGGACCGTCGGGTTTGGAATTTTGCTTTCCATCGACGAGTTGACCCATCTAGATAACCTTTTCTTGTTACCCTGGTGGATAGACGAGCTTGCTCCACTACAGAAGAGTTCACAAGTTTCACCAGAGCGAGACTTAAAACCGGGAATAGAAGTGAAAGAGCAAAATACCCCCCCCCGTCACAATACTGCGCATGAACCGTCCTTGGAGCTGAGTGCACAGTTTCTCCTTAGAGCCAATAATCGGCCTGCTACTAGTGAGTGAAACTGGGCACGTCATGAGAAAGTTCGTCTAATTAAGCAGGTGTGGCACTTATTCTTCAACACAAGTGCGACCCCTCGCTCTAATGCCTCGGTGCACTTATAGGGCTCCTTAGGCAAGACTGTAATCCTTTCAATGGAGATCAGGTCTTCTGTCTAAGTCTCGAAAGAATAGACCACGACTGGTGGACTGATCCAATTTTACTTTGATGGTATGTTAGTCCCAAATCCCGTTAGCAGCACAAAAATCTTCCAGATGCTCTTTAACGTCCGTTGTTGTAACCTCGGCATGATGTCGAATATTCAGTTACTTCTGCCAAACGAGGTTTTTAGATGACACCTTTATTGGCCTTACGTTTCGACCTTCTCGTCTTCTTCAGAGGCCTGAAAATGGCTCGAAGCTTTTAATTTGTTACCTACCCGACCAAACGCCCTCCCCACTCTAGCGTTTCCGACCTCGTTTCCCGAACGCTTTTGAACAACCCGGCAATAAGTGCTAACAACCCATCGAAGGTCTCACCGTGCGGAGCCTAGCTTGGCTTCGAGCCATTTTCAGGCCTCTGAAGAAGACGAGAAGGTCGAGATTTTAGACCAGTAACAGCTTTTGGATATTAGGCCATTAAAAGTTTCACGTGAAGTTTCTCGCTTGGCAGAAGTAACTAAACAGTCTTGCTTTCAAAATTATTAGCTTGCGAGCTCTCCAACCAGAGTCCCATTTTATCTGCTTGTCTTGACCTGGAGAGAAACGAATTGACAGTGGGCAGGAGGGTGGGGAAAGGTAGGAGAGGCACCGTGCCACGCTTACTCATAGCGAGCCAAATACAGCCTCCACCATTCCCAGCAGCTCAATTACAACTCCTCTTCAAGATTCCTCAATCTCAGCTCGCCCTAGCATGAAAAGCTATCGCGAACTTGTCAGATTAGCGAGGAATCTGACGGGCAGACAATCGAAGCTGCAGGTTATACATCCAAAAATAGATGAGGGAAAAGTGAAACGAATAAAAGAAGACAGAAAGCAGTCAGTGAATGAGCAGACATGTACAGATAAGTCTGCAACGGTTACCTTCTTTCATTAGCCGGCTTCACATTATGGATATCACTACTGAAGTTAGTGCTGGGTGTTCTCCCTTTTCTTCTACTACATTTCTGTGGTTCATTTTCTTACTTTCCATTTAAACAAGTTTCTCATTCCCCCAAAAAATCCATGCTTTAGAGGTCGTGGTCCAGACGTGGTGATTTTGTCCACAGGAGGCAATGATATCGGTTTCTCAGACATCATCAACGCTCTAGTCCATGAGAACGCCAGATTCGACATCAGTCTGATGGATATGAGGTGGGCACTAAAGGTTTTTATCAATTTTATCGTACCCGTGATTTTTTTCGAAGAGAAATTATCTAGTTTTCAACATCCCTCATTGCAAAAAGCTCTCGCTGATACACTCGCGTTCAAGAAGATCATTCCTATTGGTGACGATAGCGATATGCCATTCCGATGTGGGAGCGCCAAGAAATGCTAGTGTAGTAAGCGGCCCGAGGCTTGTTATATCGGATATAAAAGCCTGCCCCATGGAAACAACCAAGACTCTGACACTTCTGTGCCACATTTTCCATGGAAAAACATGACGGAATGTATATTTACTCGAAATATTCCTTGTAAGACGCGGAAAAATTACGGCTTTAAAGGCAGTTGGCACGATAAATCGTCATACAGGTGTAGGATTTGTAACAACTGGCTTAACAGAATTCCGTGACCTTGGGCAGGCGCTGAGTGAGGCTAATGCCGTTTGGACTCCAGCAACTTCGGCACCGAGCTCATTTTTAAATTGCCTAAGTTACCAAATCCGCTAAAAACTTGTATGTAGGGGTAGTTTAACATCCTGATTACGAATATGACATTCACTCTTGCCGCTGGCGCTAATGGATGACACTACGATTACCTGCGCTCCGCTAAGGCTGAGCCCAAGAGGTAATCGTAGTGTCATCCCTTGGCGCCAGCGCCAAGAATGAGTGTCATAATTGTAATCAGGATGGTAAATAACCCTTGTGTACATATTTTCAGCGGGTTTGGCGCGCTTAGGTAATTAAAATGAGCTAATCGCCACAAACATTCGAGACACACACTTCGCCACACCCGCCGCCCACAAACGGACGACCGTTTCTGACGCTCGTATTCATTCATTTGCTGAGCAAATTATGAAGCAAAGGGATTGGTATGAAGCGGCGTGATGCTGCATGCATACATGGGTACACATATGCAGCCGTATCTTCGGTAGCGGTGATTGGCAAGATGCGTACGGGAAACTCGTCCGAAATCGATTTACAAGTCACTGAGAACGGAGGCTTTTTCTTCGCCGGATTTTGACCGTTTCACTCCGTTCTTTCGCCATTTCCCCACTATACAGCGCCCTACTAGCATGGAAACCATCGTGCCAACTGCCTTTAAATGAACCTGTAGCTTGTGAAAGCCATATTGAACCAAACAATGCACAAATGGCCTTGCGCTGACAGATCTCTGGCTCGCTTGGTGGAGGCACCAAATGATGCCTACCGAAAGTACTTCAGGCTATCTGGTGAAGTCCTGTAAAGTCCAGTCACCAAAGTGACTCACTTATACCATTTCACAGAGCTTACAGGTCTCATCAAAGTTTGACGTCTTGCTTACCACGCAATAGCTTAGGGACTAGCGAAATAGAGAAAGCCCTTCCCAAGCCGAAGAGCACCCTGGTTCCCTTGCAGTATGCGCCATGTACTTTGCTCGCATGTAAATCTGGAAGGAGACTTTTTGATCCTGCATTGTCTTGCAATGAGTTGTGATGCAAGGCGCAACCCAGTTCTGTAATTTCAGTCCCTCAAAGAAGTTTGGCACTAACCAGTGGCTCAAAGACAGTCCCTGCACTTGAGCAGTTCATAGGGGGTCCTTCCTTGTACAAGTAGTCTGGTCCTCAGTCTCTAAGATTATCCCACTTTCGCGGCTTCACAGTAAGTAACGAAGGCGCTGATGCCCTCATAAGTGGCAGTTCTGACGCCTCCCTAGTTGTCCGCCCACCAAAACTCAAAGGCTATTTTCCATCACAAGTGCAATCTCCATGTTTTTCGTTTTTTATTCTTCGTCCGATGGTGTTAGCATTTAATGACGAGAAGAAGCACTAGTGAGCCAGAGGCGATAGGACGTCGCTTTGCAGGCACAAACGAGCAGGCAGGAGAGACCTTTCGAGGAAGCTGCCAGGTCCTTAGTTGAGTTCTCCAGGATTTT